CTATCGACAACCGTTGTTTCTTCAGTCCTCGAGCCTCGCGGCGTCTTCGCCTGGCTCGGAGGACGCTCCGGGTCGCGGAGGACGTGCTTGTCGGACTCGCTCTGGTAGCAGCTGTCCTCCGCTCGTCCGCGGTGTCAGTCGACTCCGTCCCAGCGGCTCCCTTGCGGCAGCTTAGGACTGATCCACCTCGGCAGCTCTCTCTCTCTCTCTCTGCGCTCTCCTCGTTAGCAGGGGTCTTCGGCTAAAACAGGCTTCCTTAGAACGGATTCCCTGTCGGTCCTTACTTGCTAATAATAATAAGGAAGCGATTCACCTGAGATTTTTGGTCCGTCCGATGCTCCTGAGCCTGACTTCGCTCTCCCTCGGCGGCAGCGAATCTTCTCTGAAGTCCTCTTCCTCCTGACCCGACCTCTCGACACCCGCACTCTTATCCTATACACAAAATTCGGGCCACGCAGGCTCGCGTCCTATTCGCCTTACCGTTAGGACGCGACATCCACCTGCAGCCGGGAAGCCCGCTTTCGGCTTCCTCACGACTTTCCGAGTGACGGACGATAACAAAAAAATCGTCACGTCACACGCTATCGTGTCACGAGAGCATTTTTGAATGAATTAAACGATTTCCGAATAGCAATAAAAAATAGACGATGTTTTCTTGAAAATCACGATTCTTTCTTTTCAAATTATGACCATTTCCATAATTTTCTTTTTTCCAAAAATCTCCGTCGTCACACGAGAACTACAAGCCTAAAAAATGATAAACAATCAACACTTTTTATTTCAGATAAAAATTACGAGTTGAATCATGCCTACCGTTTGACCTGACCAACAAAACCACGTTTTACGCCACTAGACATAGACACCATGTCTTTGTAAATTTTTTATTTTATTTATACGTTTCATGTTCCTTACGAGTTCCCCATTAAAATAAAAGAAATTAAATTAATCAGCTCAATAGTTTTTTTACAATCCCTCACCAAAGTTTGACTACTTTTCAGGTCTGAGCAACGTATATGACCCTTTAAAAGACGATAGGTATGCTAGCCTAGCATATCTATGCAATGTTATTATATGCAATGTTATTACTCTCAGATAATTACCTTCAGATAATTGGAAATCTGATTCTGATGTTAGAGTCGCATTGCGAATGGCCACACTCAAGAGTAAAGTACCCTTTATATCGTTGTACTGTGGAGACCAGGTTGCGCTGAGTTGTGCTGATCTAGAATGCTAGTTGTGCTATTATAAGATATGCAATGCTATTACTCTTGGATAATTAGAAACCCAATTTCTGAAATTAGAGTCGCATCACGGATGGTTCAAAAGTTCATGGTCTGCGTTCGAAAGTAAAGTATCCTTTATATCGTCTTGTAGACGAAACTAATGATTGTGTTGAGTTGTACTAGGTTAGAGTAACTCAATTTCGCAACTATATACTTTATAGATAACAAATAACAAAGTAATTGTTAATTTTATTGAATTTTGCACGGAATCATTTTTTTATCATAATTTTTTATTATATGTTTTAAGAGGTAATGCTTTACAATGTTAACACAATTTGGCATAACCTAGCATAATTAAGAAAATTGAAACATCGCAAAATAGTGGGCTGGTCTAAACAATCGTTTTTTTTTGTATTTTTTAATATATTTTTCATATTTCAGTATTAATGTTCGGGCACAATGTAGCACTAATCTAGCACAATTAAGCACAACTATAAAAATTTGTTTATTCCAAAAGTAGGCTAGATTTATTCCAAAAGGAGACTAATTTCTAATAAAACTTTTAATGAGTTAAAGAAGGAAACCAAATGCCTATAGGCAATGTGTCCCATTCCGAGTCAGTAAAATCAATAGATGAAATGGGTACCGTTTTAAAGATTTCAACGAGCTGAAAATTTTGGTACCTATCTCAAGTTGATCCGATTTTTCGTTCCGGAAATATAGCGTTCCAAAAATCTAATTTCCGTTACAGTTTTTAATTTATAGAAAATGTTAGCATTGGAATTTCGGAATGATCAAGGGCGCGTTGGAAAGCTGAGAGTGCCTACTTTTTAGGAAAAAATATCATTTTGATAAAGTACTAAATAGCCGGAATCCAGGTGTTCCAATTGGAATTTTGGTACTTCCGGTCGGTTTTGAGCTCTGAAACTATTTTAAATAGAAAATTTGGCATTTCATCAAAATAATATACTTTTCCCTGAAAAATAGGTACTCTCAGCTTTCTAACGCGCCCTTGATCGTTCCGAAATTCTATCGCTAACATTTTCTATAAATTAAAAACCATAACGAAAATCAGATTTTTGGAACGCTGTATTTCCGGAACGAAAAATCGAATCAACTTGAGATAGGTACCAAAATTTTTAGCTCGTCGAGATCTTTAAAACAATATCTATTTCATCTATTGATTTCACTGCCTCAGAATAGGGCACATATTAGCCGCTTTCTTTCAATAAACGTAAGTCTGTGAAATCAAGTCTAAGTGTAGAAGTTTAAGTGTAGAAAAACATAAAACTGCGCTAGCAGATATATAGATATTAAACTTATGCATCGGGTCGTTTCTCCCTGATGAAGCGAATTCAAAAGTTTGCGCAACGTCGGAATCAAATGAAAAAGAATCACGCAGTTCAAACCCGGAAACCAAATCTGATATATATGTTCCTCATATGTAATTTAATTAATAGGTATAAGGCCATAATGGTCACAAAACCATAAGACCAATGAAAGCCGGTCGCAATTGTTGGTATGAATATTAAACTAAATATAACGTTTGACAGCGTCAACGCACTCACCGAATATTTTTCCCGACGTACACGTTGAATCTAGCTTCTACGTCAAACTAACTTTGTATTCTAAATTATTATTTTTAATTTATACTAAATATTATTAATTATTAACAGGAGCCTGTTAGGTAACCCATTTTTTAATTTTATTTATAGTTTGAATGAATCACGCAATTTATATCTTGCGTCGGTTCTTACTGGCTTTTTTCGTTTACAATTGATTGTACATTTGAAAGTATTGATAATTTATTTATTTTTAGGAAGTTTATATACATATGTTCCACGTTATTTATTAAAAATCTTGTTGAATAATTGCGTATTCTTTCATAACGTATATTATTAAAGAAACCCATATTTGTTAAAGTAAAAGTCGTACGTGATGTTTTTTTGTACATCTTTGATATCATTTTCAGGTAGATTATTATTAGACGGATATTCATATATTAAAACGTTACCCGAGCAGCACAAAGCATTGTGTCAATGTCGAATCTACAGTCAATGTAGAATTTACAGCGGCCAACCGTTGACTAATATGTGCTACTAGAGTATCGTTAGTGTTAAGATAATTTTACAATCGCCGATTTTATTTTAAATACTGATTAACGACAAAAAAGAATTTAAATTTAATTTTATATTTAAAGATAATGCTATTCTCTGTTATGTTATGTTTATAAATAGTGTTATCGTTATTTTTGTTACTTTTCCTGCATGTTACGTAAATTTATACACATATTTATTTTATTTGAAATGGGAGAGATAGTTGAAGTGTACACAATTGTAAGATACATGTATGTGGATGTATGTATAAATATATAGAGGATATGTGTCTCTCCAAGAATAATATTATTATTAGCTGATTCCGAATTAGAGTCAGTACTGTTACGTACCTGAAAGGAGCAAACTCATTTGTGTATAGACAGAATTCGACTGTTGGTATATTACGAGAATTTCCTTCTATCATTATTCTCCGCACATATACCGAAGTAAGTAAATTACTTCATTATTAGATGATTAATAACGAAGAAAAAAATTATCTAATATTATTTACATTGCTTAAGAAAGTCAAATATCTTTTTCGAGGAGATCATTAAATATTTAAGAATAGATATATTTTAAAATATACGAAATAATTTAGAATAATCTGAAACAGATTCTCCAATGTGCCTTCTTTTTCTTCTATATGTCATTGCGGTTGATAAATATATATAAATGATCCTCCTACTAATAATAATTTGTAATTAATTATTAAAGTCGACGTTTGAAGATATGACGTTGGCGAGAATATTAGGTTTCATTTTTGAGAGAAGTCATTTGATTGCACAAAATGTGTTATTTCGTCGTAACATTCCTCCCTACTTAAAATGCAGCCCTTGGTTTCACACGTCGAAGACACCTGTGAATATGAATATCGAGTTTAGTCGACGGTATGGAAAAACAATGGATCAGAAAAATGAGGAAACCAAAGAAAATAAAGAAGATAATGGAACTAAGAAAAATAATAAACGTGAGTTTTGGATGTCGCATTTTATTAATCTGGTTGTTACAAGTGCACTGATAATATTTCATTTTCCTTTATAGATAATTGGAGTAATGGATTGGATGGATGGATTATACATATAGCAATCGGAATCAACTGTTTAGTATCTTCAATAATAATTCTCACAACTAAATGTAGGAAAAAAAATCCACATTCCATGTACATAAATACTCTGATACATTGCCGTAAGGATTCTAAGATTGTGGATGTTCTCGGAGAACCTATTGAAATAGTTCCACAAAAAAACCGTGTCGCACACATGTAATTTTTTTCTTTTCTTCCTTTTTATAAGTTATCAGTCACATTCGCGATATGTAGTTCTTATCTTGCAAAGAGCGATATGTGTGAGTATATGTAAAGTTATTTATAATTTTTAGTAAAGTAATACATTTAATTGTTTTCTACATCTCTTTCTTAAATATGATTAAGAAACGTAATGTTTCTATTATATCCGTTTCAGTCACGGTCGTCACAAGAAAGACGGCTGGTTTTATGAAAAATTCACGTTTGACATAGCAGGACCGAAAGCACGGGCACTGGTGGAGGCCGAACTGAAGCAGGTGAATTTATTAATCCCGAAACTCGCAAAGACAATACAGACATAAAGACAATATTTACACGCTTTTACTTGCGATTTTCATTTGTAGATTACGGATAACGAATATAAGTATACGAAATTGCATGTTACGGTGCCTAAAGTCGGAACATTTGAAGTGAAGCCTGACTCGGTATATTTGAAAGAAAATTACCCGAAATATTTGAGAATTCGAGTTTAATTGTTTTGGGATCACTGTTCTATGACTAATAATTATTGTACAGTATAATTATGTGCGTGTTATTTTTTATATATATATTTTATGTATAATAATATAATATAAATTTATAATATTATATATTCATATAAGTATAAAAGTAATAATAATAATAATAATAATTTCATTAATTATTGTTATTAATATTACTATTACTTTTTATTTATATCATGTTTTGTATTATTCGAGTGAATGTTACTGTTATTTGGAGTAAACTTTTTTTTTTGTTCTGGTAACAGTACGTTATATCAGATTTACTATTCAATATTGCATGAAAGTATTTACTTGAAAAGTAACTAACTTTGTTTCATTTTCGAGAAAAAAATTAACTCTATATAAATAAAAGTCATTTGATTTTGTATGAATTGCAATATTGCAAATATGAATAGTAAATCTGATATAACTGACATACTGTTACCAAGAACAAAAAAAAAGTTTACTCCAAATAGCAGTAACATTCACTCAAATAATACAAAACATGATATAAATAAAAAGTAATAGTAATATTAATAACAATAATTAATGTAATTATTATTATTATTGTTATTTTACTTTTTGAATGGAATTTCATTTGCAGAAATTTAAAGAGTTTGATTATATTTTATTTGTGACTCTTCTTTACTAAAAGATTGATATACTGTTCACTTTAAAACATATTTCTTATTATATTTTTTATTATTTTGATGAAAGTAACGGGAGATTTCAGAGTATAGATTAATCACTGTCTTTTAAGGAGTTGTAAAAATTAATTAAATTTTAATAAAAATGTGATTATCATCGCAACTTGTATGTTTCTTACTTTCTCCGTTCTTTTGTACAATTCTTACTATTTGTTTCGGAAAACTTATGTGTTTATAATTTATGGTCTAAATTGAGAGACGATGAATTTAAATATCACGCCGATATTGTCCGATTTCGATATTATTCTCCTTAAAATATATTACTGAACATAAAAATCTAAAGGACACATATTTTTTTATATGTGGCCAAGCTCGCTTCTAAAAAGTACAACGTACATTTAAGACACAATTTGGCATATTTGGCTTTAAAGAAATATCTTCGAAACCATGAGATATAAAAAAATATCTTAAATTAAAATTGAATAGTAATTAATGCTCTTATAATCGATATAATTTAATTTTATTATAATTTAATATTTTGAAAAATACCTCTAACACCACCAATTATTTTTGCAAATATAAAACTTTTTATTAAAACAAAATTAAAGCAGATTTTACATCAAATTCACCCATATATAACAAAGTTAGTTTCCGAAATATTATTTTTGAAAAATGAGACGTAAATGATGCGCTATGTTTGCTGCATTATAGATATGTGCAGCGTCAGATATATCTTCTCATGTCAACGTATATTACCAGAATTTTGAACAAACGAATTTCTCGCTTCTGATAAAAACAGAACTTAAAACAGAACTTTACCAGTGAATACCTAGACGATATTAATCAAAATTTCTAGTAGTGCCAATCTCTGCTAGCTATAGTGGCATTCAAAGTATAAAGAAAATTTAGGTACAATAGAGAATTATTAAAAATATTTTACTGGTCATATTCGTTTATAGATAGTTATATATTATGCTACAAAGAATATAAAAGATTATCAATCTAATAATTTACTATATGTTGTTTTTATGTTTCTTTTTAGTAAATATAGGAGCTTCTATGTCGACATCACGCAATATACTTTCCATCGTAACACCAGCAGAACCGATTGATAATGTAAATAGAACTTCGATATCATCCAATGCTTACGTCAATATGGTGTCATTCAAAAGAACTGTTTCCTTTCTAGGTGTATTGTCATAATCTTGGAATTTTTGTTGTTATGAAAATTCTGTTCAATCTTCACTTTCTTTCCCAAGTAAGATTTTACTACTGACATCAAAGTGGCCCAGTATCGATTTATGGTAAACGTTACTGACATAGTACCAGGTGCCAGTACAGGTTTAGTATTGGTATAATACTGAGATGATAGAAAAGGGCTAGTATCGGAAAACAGTACTGTCACAGTACCGAAAATCAATACTGTACCAGTAAAAAAAAATATTGATTTCTAGCACTGGGAAAGTACCTATTCCCAGTATTGAGCCAGTATCGATTCCTAGTAATTTTTATTATTTGTACAATTGCTAATATCACAAATATAGTATGGAAAGAAAGATCAGACCATGATCGGGCTGCCCTCGTACTTATATGTCTATTTTTAATAGTCTATTTTTAATATGAGGAAAAAATCTTCGGGACGACGGCTGGAATCGAACTTGAGTCTTCCGCTTGTCAGGCACGTGTTCTTACCATTGAGCTATCTAGGTTTCACGTTAGTGACCTCTTCCGTTTTCCCATAGAGGACATTGGTCGTCCGTGTTTCGGTACTGATACAATATCCTCTGGCCCAATATTCTCTATTGGCAGATTGTATACGATTTTTACTTGGGTATCCAGTACTGATTCTATGAACAGGGCCAGTACTAATAATACAGCTTTTCAATACTGGGCCAATACCGAAAACGACAAACACTTTTCGGTAACGCCTCAGTATACATACAACTATCCAGTACCTAACTTTAATACGGAGCCAGTACCAATAATACAATTTTTTTATATTAAGCCCAATACTGAACCACTACCGAAACCGAACATCCGCATTTCGGTATCGACTCAGTATCAGGCCATTTTTTCGTACTGGCGAAATGTATACGATTCCTGCTTGGGTTATTTTAAATTATTTACACTTAATTATTTACAATTAATTTATTTCAATTATTATATAATATCTCTTCCCTGCAAATGTAATATATTTTTAACATCACATATCTACTTAACTTCCCAGACAGCATAATGTCCAAAACTGGAACATAAGATGTCTTTAAGACATTTTTAAGACAACTTAAAGACGTCTTATATCCAAATGTTTTAAAGATGCCTATGTCCCCTAGTTTTGGACATGTGTGCTGTCGGCGTTATTATCTCTATTTTAAAATAATCCTATTCTTCATCGTATTCTTTCCGAAAAGATATCCATTCTGGTAATTTTGTCTAATCTTCTGTGTTAGAATATCAATAATATATTTTGTTTTTTTATTGACGACCGCACCACAACAATAACAAATCCACTAAATTATACTTTCTCTTCTCGGAAGGAATAACACTAATACGTACAAATTTTTTTTGCGTCTGCCATCTGATATTTTATTAGTGTGTAAATATCTGTGAGTAAACGAATGAGTGAATAATGTGGTAATGTAACAATGCCGCCCATATAGTACGCAGTTATGCAACGCCATCTGAAGTCCAAACAATAATACTTACTTAATTTTTTTTTATATATCTATTTTCCTTATATTTACTTTCACTTAACAATTTACCTAAATTCATTTTCTCTTCATTAACAGTCCGGCGTTACAAAGAAGTTCAAGGCTTGGCCAATGATTAACAGACTATGTCGGTTCAAGTTTTGTCAGTCAATACCGGATCAACACTGGCAAATGACTCGTTACGTATCTGTGTAGAATAGTTCGGTGTTACAAAGAAAAGCTCAAAAAATGACAAATAAGAATAACTCAGTAATAATATATAATATCAATGTCAATAATCAAATTAGAAAGAAGTTTATTGTTAAAATGTTTGATATTAATTAATATTGTAATACTTGCTTTTTTCGATAATATATATGTTACCAATAAACCCATAAAGAGTTTTACGAATGGGCGAGTAACGGGCCAGTACTGCTTACCAGAGTTGAAGTGCTGGCGCAGCACTAGGAAGAGGTACTGGTACAGCAATGGCTACTATCTGGATGATAACTACGGTCCAATGCTCGTTTCACGATCTAGCCCAGAGTTGCTCACTAGTACTGGTACATGAACGTTGATCAGTAATGGACCAGTACTTGTTGCAGTCTTGGCGCAGTATTAATACCTAGAATATCAACGTCAAACTAATGTGAGACAGCCAACTCTCAACCAAAGTACTGTTTGCCATTACTCGGCCAACGCTGGTTAATATCTGGCAATTGATAATCTGGCATTATAAAAAATACCAACGTCAAACTAATGTGAGGCAGCCAACTCTCAACCAGAGTACTGTTTGCCAGTACTCGGTCAGCGTTTATTTATATTTTTGTATAATTACAGGATAACAGGGGGAAAACGAAGGTCTGAGAAATGGCAGGTAATAACTTTATGATGAAATCAATTATTTATTTCATTTTTTGTTTTCTAATTATGTATTAATATTATATATATATGTTATTTGTAATATATAATATTTGCAATATATAATATTTGTAATATATAATATTTCATGTATATAGTTAGTATTAATATTTAATATAATACTTAATATGTAACATATAACGAGGTAACATAATAATTGTAAGGCGTCACAACTACTTGACAACATTGACAAAATCGTCGCAAATCGATGTCGGGAACAGTGAAATCCGCTTTCCTTTTTTCTGTCGACCGGAACGAAATTGACAGCTATGCATTCATTGTAGGAATTATCACGAACTTTCAGGTGTTCCTGCGAATACAAAGTAAAACGGTAAGTAATCGAAAATTTTAATAGTTTGTAAATTGTAATGTAACTTGTAAAATCAATGACTATACATAGCTTCTCAGCTACAAATTCCCTGATTAACTATAAGAGCACAGAGTAATCTAAAGGTTTAATGTATCAAGGTTAAGTAGTATCGTTGTGTAATTCGAAAAAAGAAATGTATTAAGAAAAATTCAAATTATATTTTCGGTTTCAAATAATTTTATCATATACGCCCTTATTCTCGATTAAGCTTACTTTTTTAAACATTATGTACCCATGAGTTTTCCACTTTTCGCATAATATTTTTACAATGTGATAAATGGAGAACTCAGCGTACATAATGTATCAAAGAATAAGGTGAATCGAGAATAAGAGCGTACATGATGACATTATATGGAGCTGAAAATATAATTGGAATTTTTTTAATATGTAACTTTTTTCCGAATTACACGACGATACAAATTAATCTTGATAGATTAAACCTTTCGATATACTTTGTGCTGTTATAGTTAATTAGCGAATTTTTCAATGGAAAGCTACAGTATATAGTTTATAATATATAGTCACTGATAATAGTCATAAGTATACACTGTTAAATCCGTAGTGTTAAATTATACTCAATTTGAGTTATTTTTAACCATTCCTATAGGTCGCCACTGCTCCTACTATTGGGTGTACAACTTAGTTCGGTCCGTTTTCAAAAGATGGCTCTAGGTGCTATAAATGGTTGACGGCGACAGCTGATTTTTGCTGTATCGTGAAGTGTCAACATCTGTCAACCAAATATTGTTTACAAGCCTTTG